TCCGATCTGTTGTCGTCTGTAGTTTCTCCGTTGGAACCAAGACGCAGTGCGTGCGCTGACTCCACTGTTACTGCATCTCACGGACGCACGGAATACTCAAGTGACGGCTTAAACAAAAAGAAAAAAAAACGCTGCTCAGGTGATGACTAAAACAAAATTTAAAAAAATCGCCTTTCCCGGGGATCGAACCCGGGTCGTCAGCGTGACAGGTGGAAATACTCACCACTATACTACAACGACTTGCTTGGCTACAGCCGATTTTAACTCTATTTGAATTTTACTTCATACATCATCTGCCAACAGTCAACATGTTCAACGGAACAACCACAATCGTGTGCATCAACATGGTCAAAAGTCAGAACTAGGAGGTAGCGTGATGCCACGTATCGCGCACGTTGGGAACACCGGCTCCGGCTGCAACTGTTAGTGCACCAGCGTAAGAAACAGTACTAGGTTAGATCTACATGTATTTTTTTTCCAATGGGTGTATACCCGTATTTCATTAAAGAGAAGAGAATGAGTTACACGCCTGCTGGCAATCAAACCTGCGGTATTGCGAGTGGCAAGCTGGCAGGCGTCGAATAATCAGAGACGAAAGTCGCTCTGCGGCTCTTGGCTACGCCAAGTCATGTGTGGTTGGTTTGGGGCTTGGGCACGGGGGTCGCTGGGCGAAGGCCTTGCCAGGCCCTTGGCCGTGGCCGATAATGGTGTCGCGTTTGTCATCACATCCCTAGAAGCACTGCGGTGGGGCCTCTTTTCTCTCGAGGAGTTTAGTTGAAAAATTGTCCGGTTAGCCATTGACAGCATCTGTGGATATCGTTCCTTCATTGGAGGCATCGCTGTGAAAAACCCATTCCTCCTAGTTTACTTTGCTTGTTCTCTATGGCGTGCAAGGTGGCGTTCAATGGTTGTTGTTTTTAAGGTTTGCTGGTGTTGTGCTCTCGTGTGGTGGTGGTCTTGTTGTTGCCTCATTCGTGAGTTTTTATTTATTTTCTATGTTTGTTGCTGTAAAACTCTTCTTCTCTGTTAATATATACCCGGTATGCTCTTGCCGCTGGTTTTTGGAGAAAAAAGCACGTATTCATCTCAATTCATATGTGTTGGAGTGGATTATGATTTTTTCTCGAACACTCAAAAGTTTTGCATTAAGATAGAGGAAATGTTCAATACAACACGCCTTAGCAGCGCCCTAGGGTGTCGATAAGTTGTACATGAAGACTCGGACCAACCTTAGTGTACTACAATGAGTGGATTATGGTCAAATTTAATTCAATTTTTCTCATAATTTATTTCAACACATATAGATTGAGATAATATATGTGCATTCAAACAAGTCCTTATTTTTTTTTGGAAATAACAAGTTTGTTGATTAGTGTGGATTTTTGTTCTCACCGTGAAATAAAGATCTACAAGATCTTTAACTGGCCACTACCACTTCGCAGCCCAATACACAGAGTCACGGCCCAACGAAACCTCTGAGTCCGAGTTTGAAATCTCCAGCGTGAGTTTCGGCCTTTTGGCACGCCGTTTGTGTTTCTGAAACCGTGACTTCCGACCTCATCGGCGGTGTCTTCGCCACGGCGATTCCCCCTCCGCTCCGCACTGTTCGTACCACTGGCGACCGTCCCGCCCTCCACCACCACCGCTGCTCCGAACTGCAAACCCAATGTTGAGCAAGTCGGCAAGCCCTCCAACGGCATCACCGCAACGGTCTAAAAAAATCTCGCCAGCGCTCGCCGCGCGCCGCGCGCCGTGGCGAATTTGTATAAATACAGTTCAAATGGATCGGATCGATCAGTCCTATTCTCTTCACCCTAGCCTCCCCCGCCCTTCTCCATCCGTGTTCGCCAAACGTCGCGCGTGCAGGTCGCTCGCTCAAGTTCCCTAGCTACCACTCACCTAATTGGCTTATCGCCTTCTCTTTCCACTTTGGTTCTGAATTCCGAGCATTTTCGATCGTGCTGCGCATGCGCAGGATGGCGAGGGAGCGCGGCGGCGCTCTCCGGTGCACTCCGGCGATGGCTTCTGCGTTAGGAGTCCGGAGCGAGGAGAACCTGCCGCCGGGTGGCGCTTTGGATACCCCGCCTTCGACTCCTGCCCCAACGGCGCCTGCCGCGGCCTCCCGGCCTCCCCTCCGCACTATCCAGCCGCAGGGGCAGCCCCGGCCGCTGCAGGCGATGCCCAAGAAAGGTTTTGGGGTTAAGAAGGCAGCGGGCAAGGGCAAGAAGCCGACGACGGGGGAAAGTTCTGCGGAGGTCCCTCGTCCCAAAGTGCGAGATGCCATCTTGTTCTGGGAAGAGAAATGCAATCGTAATGCGCAGGTGAAATAGATCTACCGCTACTTACCCTTGTTACTCTTTAGTTAAACTGAGGCTGCTCAGTACTGTTTCGACTCATATATGACCTTTGATTGACACTCTTGGAAAGACTAGAACATATTAGGGATATAAAAGACAGCCCAGCTAAAGTCTTGTTTGGATGCATGTGTATCCACTTCAATCCACATGTGTTGGAGTGGATTGGAATGAAACTTAGTTTAATTCTACTCCAATCCACTTCAACACATGTGGATTAAAATTAATACATGCGCATCAAACAAAGCCTAATAGGATTTGGGGCTATTGCAATGCTAGATTAGAATCAAGCATCCACGCAGATTGCACCTTCTGCAGTGCAGCCTTCATATTCATCAACTTGTTATCCTTCTTTTCCATCACAATCCCTTTGCATTCTACCTTCAGTGCCTTTTAAGTTTGATTCTGCACCTCGAGATGGCACATTACATTGCTAAGTCCCATGTCAGCACAACAACCTAATAACTTCTCCTATGCAAATAGTCTGCGGATTTATATATGTTCTTCCATTTTGGTGATGATGAAAATAAGAGAATCTTAACATTATGCTAATTGATTTTGTGGACAGAATGTTTCGTCAACACGGCTACAAGACGAGTGTTCTGAGCTAAAAAGAACGCAAGCTTCACTTGAGAAAGCACTCAATTTAAACGCCATATACCAACAGGAACTGGCATCTCGCAGTTCTGTTGAGCAAGACAAGGATGAAACCCATAGGCAGGTTGAGGATGAATTGGCTAAGGTGATTACATCATTAACAGAAGAGGTGTCATCGCTGCGGCAACAGCTAGACGTCAGTAACAAAAAAGAAGAATACTATGTTTCATTACTAAAGAGGAAGGAAGAAGGGATTTGTCAGATGGAGTCCCAACTTGACCAGTCAAAGAGAGTCTATGAAAGTAGACTTGAAGAACTGGAGACAGTTGCAGAAAATGGATGCTGCTGCTGCAGCACATCGATGATCAGGATGCTAATATATTTAGTTGTTCTGACTTTCAGTCGTTCTTATTATCAGATAGTGATGCTCTGCAACATTTTCATTTATTTATTATCTAATAAGTCATATTGTTCGTTTGGATAGCTATGGGGTTCTTTTCATTGATCTCATGTAATTTTCTAATGCTGTTTAGTGTTTACAAAGTTTTTTAAGCAGAACTACAACAACAACAACATAGCTTTTCAGCCCCAAGCAAGTTAGGGTAGGCTAGAGTTGAAACCCACCAAGAGCCCCAAGTCACGGTTCAGCCACTTCAATAGTTGCATTCCATGTACTCCTATTCAAACATAGATCTCTAGATACATTCCAAGCTTTCAAATCTCTTTTTATTGTCTCCCTCATATCAATTTCGGTCTTCTTCTATCTCTCCTCATATTATTAGCTTGACTTAGGACTCTACAATGCACTGGTGCCTCTGGAGGTCTCCTTTGGACATGGCCAAACCACCTCAACCGATGTTGGACAAGCTTTTCTTTAATTGGTGCTACCTCTAGGTGATCACGTATATCATCGTTCCGAACTCGGTCCATTCTTGTGTGACCGCAAATCCATCGCAACATACGTATTTCTGCAACACTCAGTTATTAAACATGTCGAATCTTTATAGGCCAACATTCTGCTCCATACAACATAGCCGGTCTAATCGCCATTCTATAGAACTTGTCTTTTAGCTTTTGTGGTACCCTCTTGTCACAGAGAATGTCAGAAGCCTGTCATCACTTGATCCACCCTGCTTTGATTCTATGGCTAACGCCCGCATCAATATCTCCATCCCTCCATAGCATCGATTCTAGATACCGAAAGGTATCCTTCTTAGGTACTACTTGATCTTCCAAACTCACATCTCCCTTCTCCTGTACAACTCCATCAAAGTCACATCTCATGTATTCGGTTTTAGTTCTGCTCAATCTAAAACCTTTAGACTCAAGGGTCTACCGCCATAACTCTAGTTTCCTATTCACTCCCGTCTGGGTTTCGTCCACTAACACTACATCATCAACGAACAACATACACCAAGGGATATCCCCTTATATGTTCCTGGTAACCTCATCCATTACCAAGGCAAAGAGATACGGACTTAAGGCTGACCCTTAATGAAGTCCAATTTTAATCAAGAAGTAATCTGTGTTACCATCGTTTGTTTGAACACTAGTCCAATTTTTAAGCAGAACTACATTAATTTGTACTTTCAATGAAAAGCTAGCAACTACTTCCTCCGTTTCAAATTATAAGCCGCTCTGATTTTTTTGGTACATCCATTTTGCTATGTAGCTTGATAAATAATATGTCTAGATATATAGCAAAATGGATGAACCAAGAAAGTCAAAGCGACTTATAATTTAGAACGGAGGGAGTATATTGTTCATTGAATCATTATCCAATGGAACCAACAAAATCAGCCTCAAATGTCATCGCAACAATGTTTTCACTCTTGAACGTAGGAGATCATATCAAGGAAGTTATGCTAATAACTCGTGAACAGACACCCTGAATCGATAGGATGATCACGTTACAGGTTTACTAAGTACAGAATATTAAAGGATTCAAGACAATCCTTCTACTAGGTAGTCACATAGAAAAAAACTGGCAAATGCAAACCCATGCGTAATCTACTAGCACGAAGTTGAGCCCTTGCCATTGTCATTTGGTCAAGTGGAGTAATCGTTCCTGATGCTCTTCAGCTTTGTGACAACATCATTCATTTCAGTCCTCTGCACAGGCAATTCACTGCAACACGCTAGGCCAAGCTCAAGCAATGACAAAAGAGCCATTTCACTTTCCAAGGAAGCCGTCTTGTTGGTCTCGAGATCACCTTGTTGTATTACTATTTCACCTCGGAGTTGCCTGTCATCCACAACATCTGCATGTCTCGCTGGAAGTGCTTCAAGAACCCACTGCCTAAGGCTCATTGCTCCAACAAACATGGGATCTGTGGGCCTTCTACCAGTGAAGACTTCAAGCAGCATGATGCCGAAGCTGAACACGTCACTCTTCCTCGATGCTTTTCCCATGAATGCATATTCTGTACAACGAATTTTTGTTCAGAATTCAGAACTACATGTTTGATCGATTAGCCATACAAAACCTCAATGCTTTCGAAATAATTTTCTCAAGAAAAGTAAGTACAAATACCTGGAGCCATGTATCCTATTGTGCCAGGCATGCTTGCTGAAACAGCGGAGCTGTCGTCACCTAACAATATCTTTGCAATTCCGAAGTCCACAACATGCGCCGTCATCTCTTCATCAAACAGAACATTGCTAGGCTTCAGGTCATAGTGCAGGATAACCTCACCGTGATGGTAGTGCAGATGCTCCATTGCCATTGACATGTCAAGCATAATGTCCAATCTCTTGAGGAATCCTAGTGGAGGGCAGTTTTGAGAATGCAAGTATGAGTCCAAGCTATCATTGGGCATGTACTGAAGCAGCAAGGCTCTGAACTCTAAGTTTGAACAAGTGCTAATTATCCTAATCAGGTTGCTGTGCCGGACCATACGTAGAACCTCATGTTAGGTTGATCTCCACCAACTTAGCCCAACGGCCAATTGAGCTCTTGATCCGCGCCCTGATCGGGGGCACCAAACTGTTCCATGGTTGGTGGGCCCCCGTCGTACAATATCATAAAAAGGGAGGTGGGGCCGGGGCACAAGGCACGAGATTCACCTGCGCCGCCACAACCCCACCTACATCCTAACACTAAGCCGATCTAGAGAGGGGGCGCTACCAGCGACGGGAAGCACCGCCACCGGCCACCGCCGCCTTTGCACCGTAGCCTCTGCATCGTCGACTCTGTACCGCCTCTCTACGACTGCGCCTCCACCGCGTCACCAACACCGACGCGATGGCCAGCTCGTCTTCCCCGAAGGCGGCCGATGGTTTGCTACCCCGCATCCTCTCTCTTTTTCCTCGCACTAGATCATGTTCTAAGGTTTACTCTATATCCTAAATGTCAGTTTGACCCGCTAGATCTATGGTAGTGGATCCTGTTAATCTATCAATGGTATCAAAGCCTTACTAGGTGTAGATCTAGCCTTTGGGGTAGATCAGAACGAGAAATTTAAAAGGAGGTGATTCAAATCGGATCGAACTCCAACCCTAACCCTAACCCTAGAAGAATGGACGGAGAAAGGAGGGACCTACCCGGTTTTCTCGCCACCATCACCATCGTCGTCGCGTGGGAAGAAGACCCGCCGCCGCCTCGACGGCACACAGGGAGATAGCCGAGCCGCGCTCGTCGCCGTGCGCGCGAGCCTCGGTCGAGGGCACCGTCACAGGACCTCTTGGCGGTGGCGCGCTCACCCACTGGGGAGCGCGCGCTCCGGCGAGGGAACCCGTGGTGGCGCCGCACTTCTTCTCCGGCATCTGCTACACTGAGGGCTGACAAAGGAGAAAGGGGGAGGAGCTAGGGTTTTGGGTGAGCCCCACCGCAACGCATAAAAGAAAGATGCCAAACGAAGCACAAGAATTTTAAAGCAATGCATTGATTGCATAAAAGGAAAGTAGGTTAAGAAAATAAAGAAAGATGCCAAACGAAGCACAGGAATTTTAGAAATAGTTCACACAGACATCTGTGGTCCTTTTTCCTATGAAAAGTGTGAATGGTTATGATTCATTTATAACATTCATAGATGATTATTCTTGTTTTGGCTATATTTATCCAATTAAGGAAAGATCGAAAGCGTTGGATAAATTTAAGATATTTAAGGCTGAAGTAGAAAATCAGCACAACTTAAAGATTAAGGTAGTAAGATCCGACCATGGGGGAGAGTACTACGGTCGACACACCTCATATGGCCAAGTTCCTGGACCTTTTGCAAGGTTCTTATAGGAAAATGACATAGTTGCCCAGTATTCTACACCGGGCGAGCCTCAGCAGAATGGAGTAGCTGAAAGACGCAACCGTACCTTGATGGATATGATAAGAAGCATGATAAGTTACTCTACCCTACCGATAAGTTTATAGATGGAGGCGTTAAAAACCGTCATTCATATTCTTAGTCGAGTGCCAAGTAAGTCGGTGCCCAAAACACCATATGAGTTGTGGACAGGAAAGGAACCCTCACTTAACTATTTACGTGTGTAGGGTTGTCCAGCTGAGGCTAAAGTCTTTAACCCAAACACAGGGATGCTAGACTCCAAGACAATCAGTTGTCATTTCATTGGCTATCCAGAAAAGTCAAAAGATTATCGCTTCTACTGTCCTGACAGTCAAACGAAGTTTGTAGAAACAAGACATGCTGTGTTCTTGAAGGATAATATGATAAGGGGGAGCTTGGTAGCGCGAGAAATTAATTTTGAAGAGAAGCGGGTATACGTGCCCACTCCAATGGTTCAGGGACCATTCTTCACGCTACCTGTTGTTGCTGTACCAACAATGCAAGACACTGTAGTAACAGCACCTATTGTTAGCTACCACAGGTCTTCCCATTCAGGATCTCATGGCTTCTTCAAATGAGGTGTCAAATGGAGGGTGATCTCACCTCATTTGAAGAAGCCATGAGAAGCGCTCACTCATCAAAGTGGCTTGAAGCCATGAAAGATGAAATAAAATCAATGAAAACCAACAGTGTTTGGGACTTAGAAATAATTCCTAAAGGAGCCAAGACAGTAGGCTGTAAATGGGTTTATAAAACCAAACATGACTCCAAAGGGAATATAGAAAGATTCAAAGCGCGACTTATTGCAAAAGACATCATGCAAAGAGAAGGTATAGATTATAACGAGATATTTTCTCTACTCTCATGTAAAGGTTCTTTTAGAGTTATAATGGCGCTTGTAGCATATTACGATTTAGAATTATATCAGATGGATGTAAAGACGGTATTCCTAAACGGGGATCTGGAGGAAAATATTTATATGGCACAACCGAAAGGTTTTGTTGTGGAAGAAAAAGAACAAATGGGATGCCGCCTGAAGAAATTCATTTACGGATTAAAACAAGCTTCAAGATAGTGGTATTTGAAGTTTGATAGTATAATAAGAAAGTTTGGGTTTTAAGAAAATATAGAGGACAACTGTGTGTATGCAAAGTTCAAGAATGGGAAATACATTTTCCTAATCTTGTATGTGGATGACATCTTGCTCGCTAGCAGTGATGTTAATCTACTACTAGAAATGAAGAAGTTCTTGTCCTCGAAGTTTGATATGAAGGATCTCGGTGAAGCTTCGTTCGTTCTAGGAATAGAGATTCACCGAGATAGAGAAAAGGAGGTTTTAGGATTATCACAAAAGGCATACTTAGAAAAAGTTCTAAAGAAATACAGTATGCAAAATTGTAAGCCTTCACCTACTCCCATAGTCAAGGGCGATAGATATGGGGAATTTCAATATCCTAGGAACCAATATGAGATCGATCAAATAAAAGCAGTTCCATATGCTTCAGCTATCAGAAGTTTATAGTATGCTCAAGTGTGTACATGCCCTGACTTAGCATTTGTTACCGGGTTACTTGGCAGATATCAGAGTAATCCAGGAATAGAATACTGGAGACTAGTAAAGAAAGTTTTGCGTCACTTGCAAGGCACAAAAGGTCTTATGCTAATGTACAGAAGATCTGATTCTCTACACATAGAGAGGTATACAGATTCAGATTATGCGGGAGATGATAGAAAGTCCACGTCAGGGTACATATTCACTCTCGTAGGAGGAGCTGTATTGTGGAAAAGCTCAAAGCAAACCGTCACTACATCGTCTACGATGTATGCCGAGTTTGTAGCATGTTATGAGGCCATAGGGTAGGTGAATTGGCTGAAGAGATTCATGCCCGGGTTGAAAGTGGTAGACGACATACATAAGTCACTCAAGATATACTGCGATAATAATCCAGCAGTATGTTATGCTCACAACAATAAGTCAAGTGGTGCTGCCAAATACATTGACATAAATTATTATGTTGTGAAAGACAAAGTCCAGGATCATATAATTAGTCTTGAGCATATAAGTACAGAAAAGATGCTCGTGAATCCGCTTACTAAAGGCTTACCACCCAATGTGTTTAGAGAACACTTAGCCGGCATGGGTTTAAGGGAAAGCCTAGGATTCCTGGACAATAAGGGCCTAGTTGTCAGTGTTTTTAGACCACCGACGAGTAAATTTGTATTTAAATTTGTACTCGGAGGACACAAGGGTTTATATTGGTTCGGGTGGAACATCCCTACATTCAGTTCATTGCTGCTCGTGTTACCGGCACATGGTTTGCAGAAGGGGTTACAAACAGGCGAGAGAGGGAAAGGATCCCAAGTCTCTGGTGGAAGGAGTGAACGGGTGCTGAGAGCTCGATTGCCACTTAGTCGTGTGCTCGTATCGTGCTCTTGTGTTCCGATCTTGTGTTTTTTCGTCCCCCCCTCCATGAGGCACCCAGCTTCCCCTTTTATAGACGAAAGGAAAGCGTGGGTTATAGAGGAAGAAAAGTAGATGAACCAGAGAGAGAGGAAGGCTTCTAGGGTCACTGGGTCCTTCTTCTCCTTCATGCGAGTCTCGCTGATCCTGTAGATGTCAATAGGGACGGCTCCATGTCGTAGCCCTATTCGTCACTGGTGCCATGCATAGGCATCATCTGCCTATCATGGCGCTCCACTCTATCCTAGCGAACGTCATGGTGAACTAACACGCCTGTCAGTGTCTGTACGAGGGTTAGGCAGAACAACACCGCACGTTCGACACTGTTCTTGATGTGAATCCCCAAGTATGTCCCATCTTGGCCACGGGTCACATCGAGGCATGCCAGCCTCTTCTCTGACGTCAGAGTTTTGACCCAGGCCCATATGCTTGGACCTAGAGTGGTTGGCGGTGGTATGGGTCCCCATCGGACGAGACGAAACCCGTGTTCTCGAGGCGGGCGAGGCGAGACCGAGCTCGAGGTTGGATGAGACAGAGCCCGCGGCCTTGGGGTCGGGTGAAACGAAGCCCACGGCCTTGTGGTCGGGTGAGACAGAGCCCGCGGCCTTGGGGTCGGGTGAGACGGAGGCCATGACCTTGAGGCTGGGCGAGACAGAGCCCGTGGCCTTGAGGTCGGGTGAGACGGAGCCTGCGGCCTTAGGGTCGAGGCGAGACAGAGGCCACGACCTTGGGGTTAGGTGAGACCTTTTAATACGTCTTGAGCCATCCGGGGAAATCAGCGTGGGCGCTAACTTTCTTGCTTTGGGTATCCCTACTATCGATACCCGATAGTTGCCCCCGAGCCTACGGAGTACTCCTTTGGAGGCTTTTCTGGATGGGAGGACTCTGAGGACCTTGGCCTTCTTTTGGTAGCCCGCGGCGTGTCCTGGTAGGACGGTGATTCCCTTTTGTCACGATTGGTTTTCTTGGGGCATGCAACCGTAGGATTCGGGAGGTCAGAAAGATTATTCTTGATTCCGGTCCCCTAGGATCCGATCGGTCCGCCATCGTACTGTGACTGTGCGTTCGGTCTTCTTACGAGTCCAACTTCCCTCGAGCCCCCACGCGTGGCAGGGGTCCGGCTGTGGGTCGGCTCGTCTTTGTGATCATCATTCCT